CAATATTATTCCGATCAAAAACTATGCAGAGTTAAGCTGTTTTTGTGTACCGGTCTTTTTGTTACTATAAAAGGCTACTCACAATGACCAGTACCATCAAACATGCGGTCCGCAGTCCTGCTCCTCTGCCTTCTCCCTGCTCTAGTAAGTTTCTTATTCAACCTGGTTTTGGTTACCTTATGTTTCCAAGCCAGTCAGCCCTCAGGGCCTCGATAGCCGTTTCAAAAGCGTGTCAGTTCGAATACCCGGCTTCAGACATTCTACTTCCCAACCAGGATGCCTCCTCGAGGAAAGATAGGAAGTCCCAATTCTCGACAATCAGGACGAGTTGTCCAACTCAATGACGAGCCCAGAAGGGGGACCCTTGAGTACCTTATTAGTTAAAGGTTGCACTTTAGTTCGCTGCGAATCAAGGGCTGTCCAGGCAGTACGATACGCCTCGTCATCAAACCCTTTTTCTGCCAATTGCTGGAGCGGGTATGCGGCAAAAATTGGTAGAAAACGAGTGATACGAACGATATGATGTAGTCTTATCACTTGCTCGCTTCAAGCAACTGGTGGAGAACGGATTTGGCGCCGCACCAAAGTCGTCCCGCCTGACACGCCCCTTCGTCCATCGCGAACTAAATGCTATAAGCATGGCAATGATGCTATAAGCCTATTATACAAAATTGGATAAACTACATTGTCACGAACCGTCATTTCGACCTCGTTTTGATCGTACCATTCGACACACCGACCAATCCCGAGGAACAATGTTGCTCGTATTTGCAGCGTTCACCGGCTGTAGTCAGAGGTCGAGAGCTGCGTGGGCGGAGCCAGACAACGAGGTCACTAGCGAGCTTATTCCTTTTCCGATTTCTATAGCTGTAAAGGGAGCGGGACAGGAGGCGCCTTTCTGAGTGGGATAGGGGAGTCCAATGACATCGTTTCTTGACTCCGCAGCGCGTTAGCCTCATACGCTGCCTTTGAGTTCTGCTGTCTCCACAAACAGACATGGCACTGGGTGCGCTTTGAGGAGCACCTTTATTCCCAACCAATACTACAGCGTGAAAGTAGAAGCAAAAGTCAGTGCTCATCGTCCTTAAGTCCTGTTTCAGTGCAATGCAGCCGCTCTTCCAGCTCTTTACCAAGGGATGACTCTGTCATCGCAGCTGCTGAACCTCGTCAAGGTAAACTAATTAGGCGCCTCTGAAATTTTTATTCAAATGTCTGTTTCAGGGAAAGTATTTCTTTCTGCGATCGAGTATTGACCAGCTGCAGATGGGTATCACCAACCTACGGAACGCCCCTATTCAAGAGAGCGATATCGCTTCACTTGGTTTGATGGCATTATCGCATATTAAAAATCCATTCCTGCATGCATTGAAGAGGGCGTGTCCATGGACATGATTGTGGGCGCGGCGGAGACTGCGTAACTGTGAGGCTGCGTTCATACTTTTGTCAGCATGCCAGCGTTCCGAGCGTACGCCAGCGCCAGCGACGGGGAAAGCATAGGCATCGATCTCGCGTACGCCAGCGTATGCCAGCGTACAACAGCGCAGCGTAAAGGAATGAAGAGTATGCGGAAGTAGGAGGGTAGCAGACTGCTGACTTAGTCGTTGTGAAGGTGTGGCGTGTGCAGCTGCACCATACAACTGCATTATACCGTTCATCAAGTTTGCATAATTCTGTGCTCTAGCAGTTGTACGCCGCAATTTCACGACGTTTAATCCAGCAGCCTGCTACCCTCCTTTTTCTCCATACTCTCCAATCCTGGACGCTGCCGTGCGTTGACGTACGGTAGAAGCGCCAAATATGCTGACGCAAAGTTTGAACGTAGCCTGAAGTGTTTTTTGAGCTGACACTACTGAGTCGCCCAGGTGTGTGAGCTTCCTTACCTAGATGTTCACTCTCGCCTTTTCTCTCTGCCTTCTCTACATCCACCGAGAACACTCCACAGATACGCAATCGTAGCCGCGTTCACATCTAGGTCAGCGGACCCCCCTTCTTCAGCCGGCCTTGTATAAGCCGTGCGTCTGTCTGGGATGAAGGAGCTACAGAAACCACCAAGCTCACAAAATGTTTTACAGAGCCGCAGATCAACCAACTAAACACTAGAGTACAGTATGTGTTGGCGAATCAGCAGCTTCTGGACCAAATTGGTATCAGCCGTGGAACCACGCTCATACAAGGCTTAGCGGATCTCAGGTGGCGTTGCAGATCCGTTCATGACATATACTTATCTTGCTTCTAAATTTTACGAAATTCTAAAGAACTTTTCCAAGGCGACTTCATTCATTTCTGAGTTTATCGTATCCACCTGAGAGGGTGAACTCTGATTCGAACATTGCCTGCCCTAGCAACCCCATCAAATTGCCAGTATGACTTGAATTAAGGTTGACTGCATGGCTGATCCAGGAAGGAATTGATCCGAAAGGAAATGGGTTATGCATTTTCAGAATTTCACCGTAATTTTCTTGCTAAAGGTAAGTGTTGATTCTGCAAAATGAGCTGCTCACAGTCCCCATTTTTCAGAAAACTTGCTAATTTTCCAACCATGCGATTCGTACTTTTGGTAATCACAAACCCACACAATATGTGGCGACTTCTATGATGTGACGATATTTCAGAAGAATTCTTCCGGCCAGCACTTCAGCATTCAATGCAAGATTCAACAGCGTCGGAGCTTATGGGACCATTAGTCAAGCACTAAATAAAATCGGTGAGATAATCACCACCATAGGAGCACGGCGTAAATAAATCGACACTAACTTTTTCCACGGTTATTGAGGGAAATAAGGGTCGCAATTATAAAAGTTGAAATAAAAATTTGTCAAAGAAGTGTTTTTCGTTGAATCAAGTAGGAAAGAAAAGTCGTTCTATAGTTCAAGGAACTATAGAAAACACTACGCTGCAATTTTGAACATTCGGAGGGAGGCATCGTATGCAGAATGGCAGATGCTAGCTAGTTGACCTGAGATGTTTAAAAGCAGTTGGCACGATGGTTTCCTACTTAGCCTAAAATGCTAGTAGGGCGCTGTATAGTGGGGAAATGGCGAAAGAACGGAGTGAAACGGTCAAAATCCTGCGAAGAAAAAGCCTCCGTTCTCAGTGACTTGAAAATCGATTTCGGACGAGTTTCCCGTAGGCATCTTGCCAATAACCGCTACCGAAGATACGGCTGCATATGTGTACCCATATATGCATGCAGCATCACGGCCGCTTCATACCAATCCCTTCGCTTCATAATTTGCTTAGCAAATGAATGAATACGAGCGTCAGGAACGGTCGTCCATTTGTGGGCGGGCGGGCGTGGTGGGCGTTGGGTCGGTATGTTGTGGCTTGATAGGGCCCTTATAAGGGCACCTTCCTTGGAAAAGGCGCTATGCAGCGCCTGCTCAGGGTCGCGGAATTCCGTCCTGCCAGGCGTATTAATCCTACTCTTC